CATAGCGTGCAAGTGGGCTGTTATGGCATACGGGGATGGGGGCAGCTCGCGCTCAACTTCATCAACGTGGCGAGCCTTGTACGTTAGAGGCACAGTGGAGGAGGCGTTAAGAAGACTGAGAAACTGAATGATTTCAATGTGTCTTTGTTTTTTGATCCTTTGATTCAGTGTAAATAATTTTTGTAAAAGACTGAAAGAAATAATAATACTGTGAAACAAAGTGTCATTCTGGTTTGTCTGTCTCTTTGCCTGTCTTTCCTTTCGTTTTTCTTTTCTTTGCTCATCTTGTTTCTTCTTCTACTTCACATGCTCATGCTCTTAGTCAATAGTTCTGTGACAATATATATATATAATATTATATATATAAAGTCGTAACCCAACCCATGCGGCTGAAAAAGAAAACGGACCCGATTTTGAAACCCGATGGCATCATATGAGTAAAATAACTCTGAAAAGAAGAGTCTGAATTCCATGGCATCGGTCACAAATTCACAATCATTCAATGATACAAGTCGTAAAACTCAGCAAGTTAACTAACTCAGTTTTCTTTTCTCTGCCATTTTTTTTAAAGTTTTCTGAACTTTTTTCTTCCTTTTTTCTTTGTGCCAAATGTTGTACAAGAATGAGAGACTTTGAAACATTCTTTCCACCTCCCTTCTACCCTCCACATCACTTAACACAAGAAGCTTTGAACAGAATGAAGACCGAGATGCAGAGGCGCTGTTGCGGCTGAAACGAGTGTCAACGGAGGAGGAGGTTGTCGATTGGCTGACAGAATATGACAAAGATATGTACCAGTTTCAAGAACAATTCGAGGAAGAATTGGTAGGTGTCCTTCTTGCCCCCCTTGGACTCCCGCTTATTTTTAAGTCTTGAAGTGTTCTTTTTATATTAATTTATTATTATTATATACTGAAATAATATAATTGAAAGGCATTCCACTGTAATGAACCCAGTCAAGTAGGTACTCAGAAGTCGTCAATTACAAGTTGTCTCAGTATCTGCATCAGAGACTCCAAATCATGAAATGATAAATCAAACAATAACTCATTACCATCTGACGAAGAGAGTGGCGGGGGATCAGACAGAAGAGAAGGTGGAAAAGATCACAAAAGAATAACCCGTCAAACCCCTCTCCTTCTCCAGGCTTCTTCCCTCTCCACCTCAACAACCAGAAGATGATAACAAGTATAGTAGTCCTGATCACACACAGTAGTGCCACGTGGCATCTCATGAAGACCCTGAAGTCACAGCAGATTTTCCAGCAACGACGTCAACTACAGGTGAGTACCCGATTCCTGCATCCACAGATCCCGATCTTCCTCTTCCCTGGCAACCAGTCACCTCATGTAGAGAGCGTGGACAATGCCACATCAGCAATCAAGACAGGTGGCAAATGCCACATCATCAATGAAGATCAATAGCAGTGCCACGGAGACCAGGAGCAGTGCCAGAAATACCAGAGGCAGCGCCACGTCAGCATGCCATGTAGACCAGAGGCAGCGCCACGTCCGCATGCCACGTAGACCAGAGGCAGCGCCACATCAGCATGCCATGAAGACCAGAGGCAGCGCCACATCAGCATGCCTGACGTACAATGCCAGCGTTCTGCTTCCTCCTCGTGTCGTCGTCCGCAGCGCTGATGCACAGCCAGCGTCTAGCCAGCGTCGCGCTAGCATAATGCCAGCATCTAGTCAAAGTCAAGCCAGCGTCAAACCAGCATAGCAAGACTGAATGCTGGACTTGCTCGAGGCCAGCCTTATGTAGCAGTCGTCGAGGCTGTCTGGCCTCGGGTGTCTTTCCTCCAGTCGTCCAGATTGACTCACATCTCAAGGCCCGGATCGTACAGTTGCAGACTTCTCCCTTGGACCTGATGCTGTCTGGGTACCTGCGTACAAACAAGTGTGTGTGCTTGACCTGCGGCCTGGGCTAGGTACCTTTGGACTTTGACTGTTGGGTGGACCGACAGTTGACCGAGGTCAACTGTTACACGCCCAGGCCCTGAAATTGTGAAGGGCCTTTTCTGCCCTTATTTGGCCTGGGTTGAGGGCGGCCAAGTAGGCCTTCTGATGGCCCTCAGTTCTACGAGACATATGGCATGGGTTATTGCACCACGATGCAGACCCCCCCAAATTCGAATCTCAGGGTCAATGTCTCAGGCTAAAAGGAGCACCGGTATCCCAGGGCTCAAGTCCAACAGGTACCCGGTGAAGACTCACATCCCAAAGAAAGCCACAAGTTCCATTCCATATGCAAAAGTCACGTCTCGTATTGCCATGTCCCACAGGCAAAGAACACTTCTCCCCAGGCAAAAGTTAAGTCGTGTCCCAGAGGCAAGAGTCACATCCCACAGTCAAAAGTCATGTTCCACAGGTGAAAAGTTGTGACTCGCACACCCAAGCAGCGGCAGCAGCAGACCAATGAAAATTCGGAAAACGTACCAGGCCTTGACATTCTGAAGCGAACACGCCGTGGGCATGTGGTACCGGGTCCAAGTCCAGCCAAAGGAAGCAGAGGCTGGGACGATTCGGGAAAGTACCAGGCCTTGATATTCTGAAGCGAACAGACCGTGGGCATGTGGTACCAGGTCCAAGTCAAACCAAAGGAAGAAGAGGCCGGGACGAGTGACGACTCAGTCCAAGTCAATATAAGGACTGGCCAGCTACACTTTAGGGAGATTGCCCATTCGTGAGAAGTGTGGAAGAGATCCGTGCCTTGCTGCATTTCTCCTGTGCCTTGCTGCATTCCTCCAACTTTGCACGGACACCCCTCACCGTACGACAACGAGTTCGGTTGTCTCTCTCTGAGTCTCCTCATCCATGTCTTAAACCACCAGTACATGCCATACATTAGCCCCGGGCTGCTTTGAGACACTATATCCATAACATGACTTGAAGGTTGAAAGGGCTGACAATCAGTTGGCTCACATCCGAGCTTATCCTGCTGCTAGTGCAATTCAACCCTGGGTTGAAACAGTAGGGAAAGATGCTAAGCCAGGTATACCCTGCACATCAGTATTGTGACTGCAGCAGCACAAGGCTGTCTTTCTTGGACATGGCTCGTCCAGACACACCATGCACATGGTCTGAGGTGGCAGTGTCCTCCCTGTTCTTGTCTTCAAGTGGTATCCTGGGGTTACCCGGAGTTAAGTTCCAGTTAACCCAGGGTTAGGTTCCACTCAACCCAGGGTTAGGTTCCACTCAACCCAGGGTTAAGTTCCACTCAACCCAGGGTTAAGTTCCACTCAACCGAGGGTTAAGTTTTACTTAACCCAGGGTTGAGTTCCACTTAACCCAGGGTTAAGTTCCGCTAGCTTGGATTGTTCCGGTCTTAGAGTTTCAAAATATATCACAAAGCATCACGCATGAAGCTTCAGCCCTTTCAACCTTCAAGTCATGTTATGGATATAGTGTCTCAATTTCTCTCAAAATGTGCATGTTTTCATGACGAAGGTCGAGCTAGTTTCATTTGGAATACGAAGCAGTGATGCAGCTTACATGGACTTGTGTCACCTTTGCCCTTCTGGAGCTCGAACGGGCAGTTAGGCCTGATTCGGCATAGTAATTGTGCAATTACTAATTGTTGATCGATTTTCCCGCATAACAGGGAAAAGAATTCACGGAACGAATCACCCGAAAAGAAACTTAAGAAAGGCAATGACACTCGATGAATTTAGCTGCAGTGGCTGCTGAAATCAAATGCGCATTCGGCTTATTAATAGTTATTATGGAGTAGGAGGAACAGGACAAACTGAATGGTTTACGCATGCAACTGTCAATAAGCAGCTCATGAGTTTGAACCCCAATCAAGTTAGGTGGGCAGAATAATGCTACCATCTTCATCGGAATAGAATGCCCGGCTCATTACAGCTGTATTTGGCACAACATTCGGTCCAGATGCAGCAATAATGACCAGGCGTTCTTTCGGGTGAAGACGGTAGGCGCTACCCCGTTTTTGCAGAGGAGGAGGAGCAGAACGAACTGCCGTTGCACAGCAACGGTATCGGTCTATGTCGCTTAATCCTCTCAAAAATAGCAGTACGCTGATGTTGTGAACATAGTTCATATTCAGTAATCAGCAGTTCGACTACTTGGCCAAGAAATCAATTGTGATAAGAGACAGTGTGTATCCTTCTGTTGCACAACCAAGGACTGCGAAACACAACACCAACAACAGATTTATTTCAATTTATTTGTGGAAATCGTAAAGACTACACCTTGCATGACAATCGCATTTCCTTCTCAGAACAGGGTGAGTACAGTCACTACAGTGTCGTCAAGGCCATTGCATTATCCCCACCTACCATTGCTCCTGTTGTTCTCCTTCTTCCTACACATGTGCAGGAGTCGTATAACGAAAAGAGAAAACAACTGGAGTTTTTGAAAGATTATTACCATAAGATCGAGATGGAGGTACTCTCTCTCTCTCTCTCTCTCTCTCTCTCTCTCTCTCTCTCTCTCTCTCTCTCTCTCTCTCTCTCTCTCTCTCTCTCTCTCTCT